GGGGGGGGGAGGGGAGGGGAGGGGAGGCCTCCACAGAACTACATTATCCTGGGTCAGGAACCAGCAGGGAGCTGGGGAATCCTGGCCCTGAGCAAGCAGAGCTGGGGGGGCCTGAGGGTGAGAAGAAGGCAGTTCTGGCTGGAGTTGGCCAAACGGTAGAGGAAAAGCCTCCTGACCGGCTGCAGCCGCTTCCCAAGAGCCAACAGCCGAGAGCATCTCCCCTTGCAGTAGGGACCCCCCCCCCCCCTCCCCCCCGCCGGCCCTCCTCCTTTCCGTATACCCCCCCGAGGGGCGCGCCTGTGGCGCGCGGGCCCCCCCCCCCCCCCTCCCCCCCGCCGGCCCTCCTCCTTTCCGTATACCCCCCCGAGGGGCGCGCCTGTGGCGCGCGGGCCCCCCCCCCCCGTCCTCCCTCCAGCCGGAACTGCTCTTGTGCTAATGGCCCCTTGAGGGCCGCGACTGTGAGCTGCGGTCCCCCCCCCGGCTTTGCTCCTTCGGCCCCATCCCAGACCACCGGGTCAAGATTTTATTTTACTGTATAAGATGGGTAAGGCTGCCCGACTCAGCTGGGGTGATTGATTGACACCCCTCCCCTTGCCCACAACATATAGGGGGAAAAGGCCACACAATCCCCATTTGTTGCGTTGTTTTCTCCCTCCGCTGCAAAGGTCCCTCCCTGAAGCACCCTACAAGCCCTTTCCCAGGGAGACTGAGGCTGGCTTGCATGGAAGGAAAAGCTGCCAGCCCGGGGAAGCCGAAGCAAAGCTGAAGTCTTGTCCCCTCCGGGTCAAACTGAAAACAAGGGGGCACTCGGCTCTGAAGGGCTGCACGGAAGAGTTAAGTATATCAGCCCCTCGGATCTTCGCTAGGCGCCGGCCTCGTCCCAGGTGGCCCAGAGGTGGCACTGCGCCATTTGAGGACTCTTGAGAGCAAACCGTTTTGTCGGAAATAACCAAACGGAGTTGTGTGCGCAAACAGGGCTTCTCGCCGCCATCTCCAACAGGGAGCTCAGCGGGCCACAGGCTGGACCGCTGAGAGAGGGGCTCGCTCGGAGCTTTTTCCGGCAGCGCGGCCCTCCCGTAGCCGGAATGATGCCCGGCGCGCCCCCGGCTGCTGCGCGGACTCGAAGCTTCCCGGCCGCCTCCGCCGCGGCCTC